TTTCACAGTTATGATTACTATCTGTGTCTTTTTCTCCATCCTTTGCCCCCTGTTTATGCTTTTCTTTCTCCTCTCTCCCTTTCCCCCCTTACCAGGACTTTGCTTTTGACCACCACCTCCTTCAGTCTCTCCTCCCTTCTATTTTCCCCCTCCCCCCTCTTCCCCTTAGCTTCTTCCCTCCCTTCCATCCCCCCTCCCTTTCTTTCCCCTTTTCCCTCCTACTGCCCATAGGGCAAGTTAGATTTCTATACTTAACTGATTATGTTATTCTCTTCTTGAGCCAAATCTGATGAGAGCAAGGTTCAAACAATGCTCATCCCCCCTCCCTTCTTTCCCTCTGCTGTAATAGGATTTTCCCTCTTTTCCTGTAATGTAATTTACCCTTGTCTGCCCCCTCCTTTCTCAGTACATTTTCTAAGACCAGACTATTCCACTTACTTGGATCCATTTAACCTACTTGATTAGATTTTTTTTTATCATTACATCAAAGTCAACTAATATCTACCCCCTTCATGTATACTCCTTTAACATGGTATAATAACAATACAGTTCTCAAGAGTTGCAAGGGTCATCTTCCCTTGTAGGGATGTAAACACTCCACCCTTATTAAAACATATTGTATCTTTCTGTGCCATTTACCTTTTTAAGTCCTTCTTGAGTCCTGTACTTGAAGATCAAATTTTTTGTTGAGCTCTGGTCTCTTTCTGAGGAAGGTTTGGAAGTCCCCTATTTCGTTGAATATCCATCTTCTCCCTTGAAAAATCATGCTCACTTTTGCAGGGTAGTTGATCCTTGGCTGCAATCCAAGCTCCTCTGCCTTATGGAATATCATGTTCCATGCCCTGTGGTCTTTTAATGTAGAAGCTGCAAGGTCCTGTGTAATCCTGACTGTGGTTCCATGATATTTAAACTGTTTCTTTCTGGCTGCTTGGAGCACCTTCTCTTTCATCTGGTAATTTTGGAATTTTGCTATTATATTCCTTGGTGTTGTCAATTTGGGATCTCTTTCAGGTGGTGAGCAGGGTATTCTTTCTATGGCTATTTTCCCTTCTGGTTCTAGGACTTCAAGGCAGTTTTCTTTTATGATTTCCTGAAAGATACTGTCCAGGCTCTTTTTTTATCATGATTTTCAGGTAGTCCAATGATTTTTAAATTGTCTCTCCTGGATTGATTTTCCAGGTCGGTTGTTTTACCAATGAGGTATTTTACATTTTCATCTATTTTTTCATTTTTTTGTTTCTGTGTCACTGATTCTTGCTCTCTCATAGAGTCATTAGTTTCCGTTTATCCAATTCTAGTTTTTAACAGATTGTTTTCTTCTGTTAGTTTTTGTACTTCCTTCTTCAGTTGGCCAATTGTGTTTTTTATGTACTTGTTTTCTTCAGTGTACTCTTCTGTTAGTTTTTGTACTTCCTTCTTCAATTGGCCAACTGTGCTTTTTAGGGACTTGTTTTCTTCAGTGTATTTTTTTTCCAATTGGCCAACTGTATTTTTGAAGGACTCTTCTACCTCTTTCATTTGAATATTAAAATCCTTCTTGAGGTCTTCTAAGAAGGCTTTTTGGTCTTCAGACCAGTTCATATTCCCTTTTGTTGTTGCAGATGTGGGTTTGTTGACAATGTTGTCCTCTTCAGAATTTCTGTCTTGGTCTCCACTCTTCTCATAATATGAATTTATGTTATGTTTCTTTTTACTCATGGTTTCTTTGTTCCCTGGCCTTTAAAGAGATTGAGCTCTCCTGCTGGGGAACAGAGGGCACTGACCCAAGCTTCTTGTGTTGGGAGCCTAGGTCTTGGTCACTGGCTTTGTGTGCTGGGGCCTCTTATGTTGGCAATTGGAGGCTGTAGGTTTCTGGCAGCTTACCTCGTGTTGGGCTGGAATCAGCAAGGCTGGAACTTTCAGGCAATTCTAGGTTGCCTGCTTTTCCTTTCCTTTAGCTTTCTTCAGCTCCTTTTAGATGGGTGCTGCAGGGTGTTTATCTGCCTGGGGCCCCTTGCAATGCTGCTTCCCTGGTTTCTGCTAATGCACTGGAAGATTCCTTTGAGGTAGAGTACCGAGGCACCTAGTGTTTTCCTGAGCTGGTTTCTACTGGTTCCCCCTGCCCTCACTGAGGCACTCGGAGGTCCAGGTGTTGGTGTTTGCCTGCTCTACCCCCCGGGCTTCAGGATCTCTTCCTGGTTGACAGTTGGAGGTTCTGACAGCTTACCTCATGTTGGGCTAGAATCAGCAAGGCTCGGACTTTAAGAAGACTTTAAGTTGCTTTTTTCAGCTCTTTTCAGATGAATGCTGTAGGGTACTTTCCCATCTGGGTCCTTTTGTAGTGCTGCTTCCCTTATTTTTGCTGAGGCACTGGGAGACCCATTTGCTGGGCTGCTGCACTGCTGCTCCCTGTCTTTCTTCTAGTTCAGGTGTTCCAGGGTTTTTTTCTGGGGTGATGTTTTCTGGGTTTTCAGAGGTTGATAGGGGAGAGTGAGAGCGACTACCTTTTTACTCTGCCATCTTGGCTCCCAGAAGGGGAAGTCTTCAAAGTACATTTTTGTTACTATCTATCTCCCCTACTTAATAAACTACAGTAGCTCCATATTGAGTCTAGGATAACATACACCCCCTCCACCTTGTTAGGCTTTTCAAGCCCTTCCTAATTTTTCTGATCTTACCCCCCCAACCCCTGCCAACTGTTGGTTTTTAACCATACACAATATCATTTTATAATTACTTTGTATCTAGAGTGTCTATACTTATCAGTGTCTCACCAGGAAGGCAGCTATCTATAGAATATAGAAAAAGAGAGTGTTAGACATGGAGTTAAGAACACTTGAGTTCAAGTCTGCATCAGACACTTATTAGCTATAAGGATAAATCACTTAGGGCCAGCTAGGTGGTGCAGTAGATAGAGAACTAGGTCTGGAGTCAAGAAGACCTGAGTTCAAATCTAGTCTCTGACACTTACTAGCTGTTTGACTCTGGGCAAGCCACTTAACCCTGTTTGCCTCAGTCTCCTCATCCATAAAATGAGCTGGAGAAGGCAATGACAAATCATTCTACTACCTTTGCCAAGAAAATACAAATGAGTTCATGAAGAGTCATGCATGACTGAAATGACTGAACAACAATAAATCACTTAATCTCTCTGAGTCTCAGTTTCCTCATCTGTAAAAAGGCAATAACATTCGCACCTACATCACAGAGTTGTTGTGAAAATCAAATGAGAAAACACATGTAAAGAGTTCTGCAAAAGTTATAGCGCTAAATAAATGCCAGTTATTACTAGAATCTGACTTGCTGTTACATTTTTGTCTTCACGTTCCCAATAACTATCACATGGTAGACCAAAATTAAATTTCTTTCTGTTTTTGATGTTTTACACCACTGTAACAGGAGATCCATGAATGAGACTCAAAAAGAGAAAAGAAATTAGCTTGTAAGTTATTACCTAAGAAACAGTTAATGGGTACTGTATAATGGGAAGAGGGCTGGAATGGGAATGATTTATAAGGAAGTAGATTATTTGATAAGGTCTTTGATTCTAAGGAGCAGACATCTAAACAGCAATGCAGTAGTTGCCAAGAGGTTTGTGAGGCTATACCTATGCAAAGCATTCAGAATATCAAGAAAGATGTTCTAAAGAGAGCCAGCTACCTGTGCTATTTAGTCACCAAGATTTGTGTATCACTGAGGAATCTCAAAGGACTCCATCCCACCCCTTTTGGCTTTTTCTAATTTCAAACAAGAGAAACTGAGGATTCAGGAATGGAAACCATTTCACTTTAATGGAATGACACTACAAATATCTCTCAAATCAACAGGCAAACATTTCCAAAAGAATACCATAAGGCTTTTCATGACTTTGTGAAAAAAAAATCCCCAACAGATATATCTGATCACTTTCTCTCACAGTGTTATGAGACTGCTAGACCAAAGAGGAAGTGACAGATGCCATCAAGTTTTTTTTTTTTTAATTTCCCCCATATGGCACATATACTTACAAACTGAAGAGAACTAAATCAAACAACTATCAAGTTGTTTCAGTAACTGCAAACTTACTTGAGGTAGGTACTTAGAAATTATGATGGACATGGTAGTATCTAACAATTGGTTAGTCATGTAGAAGTTATGAAAATCTTTTTTTTTAACTTTTAGCATTTAGGTTTTGTTGTTATTGTTTATGATGATGATGATTTTTGCAACACAACAGAGATGGCAGTCTTACAAGCATGCCCTTAAAGTCAAACTAAAAGCACAGTGATATTGTCATAATTCAAAAGGGCCTTGGTAAGTCATTAGAAAGCAACTAAAAGAAGCTTGATACTTATGGGCCTATTTTCCTGGTAAATATAAATAAAGGAATATTTTAAAACAGTAGTTTCTTTCATTTGATGGTGTTTCCTAAATATCTATTTAAAGTCTGCATCTTTAAGTTTAATGCTCCTAAAAGGCTCTCATATAAAGGTGGTATCTATCTCTTTTCTCTTTATTATTAATTTATTTTGATAAAGGTAAATTATGACGCAGGTATTCAACTAACTACAGCAATTCTTATCACCAATTTGTAATTCCCCCTCCCTCCACTGCTTGAGCTATCTTTCATTCAGAGAAACTTCTCTGACATATTGCCATTTGAATAGAAAAGAAAATAACTAGAATGATGCTGGAAGTTAATTAGGACCTTCAAAGGAATTTCTATTCAAACAGAATAATGGACACAAAGGTATAGATAGATATCAATATGCATATAAGTATATATAAGTATATATACATAAGTGGATATACACATTTAATTTATATGTACATATATATATGTTTAAGTGCCCATTTATGTGTATAGGTGTGCATACATACACTTTAATCATTCTTTTTAAATGAAAAAATACTTGCCAAGAGAATTAAAAATTATGTTGGTGGACTTGACGGACTGATCCTGTAGCCCACTTCTGAGGTTCTTTAAAGTACTTCAGGCCACCACACAGAATGTCAGAAAGTTGAATTGATAGTTTTGGTACCTGTAAGTGATGTGCTTGTGTTGCCACTTCTGTCCTGTTAGTGCATATCGCTTTCGACGAATATTAAATTTGGAGCTTCCTCGAGTCTGGTCAGGCACACCACACCTAGGCTTCTTCATCCAGCTGTCAAAAAAAAAATTTCAGTTATCATTTATTTCGAACCACTTCTTTTTTCAAATTTGCATACACACACACACACACACACACACACACACACACACACACACACACATGCAATGCATATCTGAGACCATGCTACAAAACCCCCAGTTCTGAGTAAATGATATATTTTTTTTTCTGAATGAGCCAGGATTACTGTCCACTTCACCTAAATTAATCAAAGAATTCCTCAATATCTAATTCATTTTTGTCTGTGTTGATTGACATGGCCTTTTATTCCAGAAAAAACATGACGCTTCACAATAATTTATCACAGTGAAAAATGAATTTTCCTCTCATATTACATTTTCTCTTTTTTCCTCCCCTCTTTCTTCCACTTTGATCTTTCCTTCCATTATCTGGGTATCTCTTCTTTGCTTGAGACTTTTTAATAATAATCTAATATACTTATCCTGGAACTTTTTTTTAATAACCAGTTTATATGATTTAGACTCACAGGAGTTGAAGTTGGTACAATGGAAATACCCTTAAACTTGTCACAGGACATGAATTTAAATCCCTGATATAACTTACTCTTCGTGGGGCAGCTAAGTGGTGCAGTGGATACAGCACCAGCCCTGAAGTCAGGAGGTCCTGAGTTCAAATCTGACCTCAGACATATAACTCTTACTAGCTGTGTGACCCTGGGCAAATCACTTAATTGCAATTGCCTCAACAAAAAACAAAACCAAAAACTTACTCTTTGTGTGACTCAGGTGAGTTACTCTTACATAGTCTGTGGGTGTGGGCACCCAAGCATGCAATAGTAGGGTACAATGGCTGCAGGGGTCTTCCTGAATTCGGGAAAATCTAGGTTTAATTCCTGCCTAAGGTGATATATTTTTTACTGTGTGACAATATGCAAAAGCCACTCAGGTTCCCAGGCAACTTTTTTAGACTATAAGTTAAAGAGCTAGCTGCCGATTTGAGTCAATTGAAGTAATTTTCATACCAGAAGAGCCTCTCAGTATAAAATCCCAAGCTCTAGATACACATATTCATTTTAAAAGCATGAATCTGTATTTGTCTAATTTTCCTATTTTTCTTCTGGACAAAGCTTCTTATATTTAAACATCCTTGTTTTCTGTTCCTCAAAGCCACCAGCCTATGTAAATACAATGCTTTTAGTCATCTTGGCAAAGGGTGTTTTATATGCCTCATAAAATATCTTTACTGTGAGATTTCCCTGCTACTCCACTAAAGTCACCTACTTAAATAGCTTCTGCATCTTGTTAGTAGCTCTCTATGAATTGAGATTTATTCATGAACAATGTAAAAGGAAGAGGATAAATTGTGAAATTTCTGATCAGTTCCTACTTAATCTCATCAAGGCTTATATAACTCCACTTCCTCTAAATAAAACTAGGCACAGAGATGAATCTATAGAAGATAATTGTTCTAAATAAGTAAAATGATTTAAATAAATAACAATTGCTTCCTATTTTAGACAATAAATTGGTTGTCTGTAAAAGAATAATTTATGATCTGGTAAAAATCAAGAAACTTTTTTTCAAAGGTAATATTATAGGCATATCCAATCACTAATAATGCAGAATGTGTAGGTATTGGAGTTAGCTACTACTACCGCTTTTCACGTAAATGTAACTTATTTAATTAAGAAAATCATAGCCTTTGGGGACAGACAGCAGGTCTTGAAAGTTATTGTAATCTCTGACATTATCTAGAATAGTGCTAAACAAATAATAGGTACTAAGTAAATGTTTGATGAACTTACAAAGTAATGAATTTAGTTAATGCAAGCTGTAAATACATACAATGCATCTAAGAAAATGCATGTTATATGTAGCTTAAGGCAGCAATAAATCTTCTTTAATAAGGTTCACATTCCATTCCCATTTAAATTTTCAGGCTTATTTCTTATTATTCTGAGTCACATACTTTTTCGCCAGATGTTCAAATAGCCTGTACCTATTCACAATATATTCAATTCCCATGCTTTTGTACAGGCTTTCCCCCCAAGGTCTAGAATGCATTCCTTCCTCATCGATATCAACTAAAATCCCTTATTCCTTCAAAGCATAGATCATGTGCCACCTCACATGAGACCTTACTGTTCTTCCCAATTATTCTCTCTGTCTCTGTCTGTCTGTCTGTCTCTCTCTCTCTCTCACTCTCTCTCTCTCTCTCTCCCTCTCTCTCTCTCTCCTGCTCAACACAAGTAATCTTCACACTGGCAGGCCTAGTTTTCCAGAGAAGGACCATCACTACACAGCTAGAACTCAAAGTGTCTCAGGGCTCTAAGTAGTCAATGGTAGTGATAAACAATTCCATTAAGCCAGAAAAGTGCAACACTTCTCAGGTTGGCCTCCTGGGAAAGAGATAATTACGGACAGTTTTGCACTCAACATGATGCTGGATCATTCAATCATCTTAACATTTCTTCCTAGAACAAAGTAGAACTTATATAGAAATTCCTTGAATTAGCTCTCTTAGCAGTGCTGACCAGCCCAGGCAGCTCATCACTTAACAAGATGCTACTTTGTCCAATTAGATTCAATTCCCTTGTAATAGTAAATCAGATAAAGGGACTGTCCTTCCCCCTCTTTTTCATCCTATCAGACCACTTGGAACCTTGGATAGATTTTATCCCTCTCAATCTGTAGATGGCACTATGGGGTAATTAAAGGGAATGTAGATCTTTCCCAAGGAGCTTCAGCCTTACACAAATCAGTAAATCCTAAGACAGCTGCTGAAACATGTTATCAGCTGACTCTCCCACTCTGCTCTTAACTTTCTCCTTCTATCTTCTCAGCTCCTCTCTCCATCTAGTTTTCCACTTTTCTGAAGGTTCTTCAGCATTACCAATGAACAGCTCAAATCTGAGCTTTCTAGGCTTCTTTTCTTTATGAAGTAGAACTCACCCTTACATTAATTATAAAGCAAAAAAGTCTTTATAAAATCATCCCTTGGTCTTCAAATAATTATCTGATCCACACCTTTGTAAGTTTTATTCTTTCATAGAAATAAACTGAGGAACCACAATGCCCTGCAACCTCAGTATTTGCCCTATCTCCAAACAGAGTCCTCTTGGTCCTTGATTTTATCCTTCTAAAGGTCTGTTCTTCCTCACGTTTTATCTGAAAACCATTTTTCACACTTTAATTTTTATCAGATTTTATAATCAAAATTTCATTGTTTTACCCTTTTGAGCAACCAAGTTGCTGATATATAAAAGGTGCAGTGCCTTATATTCCTCATCAGATGATTTCATTCTTTTTATTTCTTTAGGCAAAAGTTCCTTTTCTGCCCCAAATGTCTGTCCTCCGCTCCTTTTAGCAAACTACTCATATACAAAAGAAGCAATACTTTCTAAACCTTAAAGCACTATAGAGATATGGATTATTATTCCTTTTGTTGTTGCTGCTCTTTCTTTGCATATATTTATTCATTTAGATATTTATTTCTATAGATGTTTATCTATTTATTTATGTGCATTATGTGTTATCTTAATAATTTCCATTATTAAACTCCATCAGGGCAGGACCTGTTTTATCTTTGACTTTGTACCTTAAATGCCTAGGATAATAGAGATAGTAGGTGTTTACCAAATGTTTCATCATTAAATTACATTGAAGAGTGTAGGGTAAAAATTTTCAAAAATCAAAACACCTATTATCATGACCAAATGTATTTTTAGACAAAAATCACATTTTTGTACTTTAGACAACGTGAACAGGGAAAGCTAGATAGCTAGAACATGGGAATTTCTGTTTCATTGTATGTGTGACATTCAAATGACCTCAGGGACCTGGGTTGAATAATTTTATGACTTCACTAATGTTTTAGAGTGTACCTATGAACATACCATGAAATGAAGTGGAAATTTAGATATTAATTATGTTATGCAGTTAATTTTTATCAACAGAAATGGTAAATAAAATTCATAGGGGAAAATCTATTCTAGAGATGAATTTTCAAGGCTGACTACCCTGATGACTAATCATATTACCAGAATAGCAATTAAATCTTCATTTTATTTTATGGAGCAGAGGCGAAATACCGATAAAATAGAAAGTGTTTCAACTAGAAGTGATGAGTTATGATCCCATTATATATGTGTATATATGTATGTATATGCATGTATATGTATATGTGTATGTATGTATATGCATGCAATCAGAATTTGACCAACATTTCCTGAAAGAATCTCACTTTCTTTGTACCCTGGAATGTTGCTCACGTTTTCCTCTTACAACCCTTCTACCATAGAAATTTGTGTGCATGCCTTAGAGAAGGGGCCATACCTTATTCATTTTTCTATCTCTCAATCCCAGAAAATCATGGAAATGTGCACATACTAGGAACTCAATAATTGTAGCTTATGAATTAATTAATTAGTAACAAATTAGTGGGTAATTTCTGTTTGTATATATCTTAATATGCATTAAATCACAGCATATGAAAGGTGAGGATTGGGATTCAAAATGAACATCAGAATAACACTGGAGAATAACACATGAATTCCAGGAATACAAAAATTATAATGGAAACTGTATAATTTAACATTGAGAACATGCATATTTAAGTTATGCAAGCCCCATATTAAAATATTCTTTGTAACTAAACAGACCATAATATCTAATCAAGAGTAACTTCCAAAGACAATGGCAAAGTGTATTAGAGCATTGAACATTACGCCCTGGTGTTTACATTTTAAAAATTCAAACTTTTGTCTTCTGTTGGTTCCAATAGTAATCTGTCTCACAGATAGCCAAGTTCAGTTTCTAATCAAGAAAAAAAAGAGCACATTTTGCCTCAATAAAAACTGACCTGAAAATAAAATAGAAATGAAAAATTTATCATATTTGGATAAGCTCTGTCAGTAGCAGTTTTCCAAGTTGATATTATATAAACATACACCTAAACTAAAGCTTATATTCATATGACAATTTAAATAAAAATCATATGGCTTTATACACAGACTAAAAACTTCACATGTACAA